AGCGTAATTAGGGCGTTGTTGGGTGCAATAACATTCAATAACTCAACTTTCCCGGATATTCAACTCTCCCGAAACAACATTTTATAGCTTCATAATTTCTTACACCGATTTGATTAATAGCAAAAATGATTTCAAGCAGTTCTACGAAACAAGTGAGTAAACAAAGTGCTCGTTACATAATCAAAAAATTAAATAGACATAGAGGTGTACTATGAGAGAATATAATATAATTTGGGAATATTAATGGTATACTTTTTTTAATCAACTAGTGATTAAATGTTTTAGGAACATCTTCTAAAATTATAATTATGTACCTTTTAAAATTAACCAATATAATTAATAATCCGTTTTAGATATTTCATCACTGACACCGATTGCATTAAAAATCGAAAAGAGAGAAAAAGAAATCCACATTTTTATATGTGCAGCTTCTTCATTCCCTCAAAAGAGAATTATCTGCAGTTTTTCTTTTACTTATTAACATATTTCGAGAAGCTCGAACACGAATGTTTCTCCGGTAAAGAAATGCGCTATCAGCGCAGAATATAAAGCCATTTGCCGGGCATATTCGAGCTGAATGCTAAAAATGCCACCGCAAAGCAATAATCGGCAATTACAAAGATTTATTTATTATCGGAACGAACCGACTATAGAAGTAAGGATTCATCGATATTCAAACAAATCGATATTTTAACCAGTACGGCATTGAATTAGTATAATTCGATTCAACAGTTATTTTAAGTTTTGGGTTCGTTGAAGGACTATTAGAGCTACAATTTAAAAATAATTTTACAAGATACAGAGCGTCCCAAATAAGTAAAAAATATTATAGTTGTATTTTTTTAAATGGAACACCCATTATATTTTTAGATTCTACGATTAAAATAAAGAAAAAATTGATTAAGGTTTATCACACTTAAACCTTACCGTTTTTGTAATATTCTCAATTTTATGAAATTGCAGTAAACATTTCTTCGAAATCTTCATTTCTCTAAGGGTATAGAAGTTTTTAATACTAAATAATTAGTATTGATTATTGTAATATATTATTGTATTGTAATTATTACAGAAATAAAGATGACTAATATTTAATACTAACAAATTATAACAAAACTATTGAATAGGTGCTTAAGGAGAAACTAAATAAAATAAATTGACTTGCATGCTTGCTTCATCCACGTTACCGTAGATGGAGCTAAGAAGGCTGAGGTAGGGTATATATAAATAAACAAAATACGAGTAGCGGAAAAAGGAGCCAAAAAACCCTACATATATGCTTATTCTCTGCATTAAGTTCATCAGACCGAAGGGAACAGCCATTCGACGACCGGTTTCGGAGATTTTTCTCCATCGTCAAGCCGACTTTGCTATAACCCTCGATCTGACCAACGAAAAGCAGAGAATAGCACTTGAATACAAAACGTACTACCACAAAATAGAAATCAACCAGAAGGTTGACTCCCAAAATGCGCGCGAAACGGTGGCTAACCTAAAAATGCCTTTATGAGCGGGTAACACCTGTCAATGTAGCGGCTTTACCGGTTTAATCAGGGCAGGTCAGGGTTTAGTTGAATTCTGACTATCGCATAATAAGAATATATCACATAAATAGGAATTTTAAAAGCGGAACAAATAAAAATAAATTATTAATAGGGAGAAATACTGTATTAACCCATCTTAACACAATACTTATTTTACCTACCTACCTAATCATAATTTTATTATTATAACGACCCCCATTTATCTGGGTAACATTGTGTTCAAGCGAAACTTTACCAGCATTAAAAAAACATTTTTATTTTGATAATGTGTACCCAAAACGCAGAACGTGCATCTAACAAATAAATTCAGTATTGTAAACTGTTACACTTTAGAACGTACCTATAGCAACGCAATTCGCGTAATTTCCCAGACTATAAAAACTTCTAAGAAAGGTGTAGGGATGACCACGGGTTTTTGCCAACCAGTAAAACGCAGCTCAAGGGTTCGAGTAGAAAGTTGACCTTTAATTAATTGGTTTAGTTTATTTTTAAAATTCACGATATCTACCCATTTCCATATTTTTGACTACGCATATACCGTATGATCGAATAAAAACGGCGTCAGCGATGGCTATGAAATGACAATCGATGACATTTCCTATATAAATTTACATATAAAATGACAGCGATCTTCATTTCATAGCCATCGCTGAGGCCGTTTTTATTCGATCATACGGTATTATCTGCCTACCTACTAATTGCAAAAAAACCGCTGCATAAAAATTACATGTGGTGGTATCTATACAATACAAACTTTACCTTTCGAAATAACGTATTACGCTCAGTCTATAATCACATATCAGATAATAAAAATACTTATTCAATATAACTCTGGCAACAGCCTGCGAAAGCGTTTTAATCCGGCCCTGAGAGTTACCCGCTGCTAATATGGCGTCGCGATTCGTGAAACATCATCAAATTCGGCAGAGTCGGCGTTCTGGTTGATTTCTATTTTGTGGTACTACTATGGCGAGAGTGCTAGATGCTCTACGCCATCTAGCGGCAGCTGTGACAATCACAGATCGTATCACGTAGGGCTTTTTGGCCCCTTTTTCCGTTACTCGTATTTTGTTTATTTATATATACCCTACCTAAGCCTTCAGCTCCATCTACGGTAACGTGGATGAAGCAAGCATGTTTGTCCAGTAGGCCGCTGGTTATAATTTTGGCGGTACGATCTTTGATTGTCACAGCTGCCGCTAGATGGCGTAGAGCGTCTAGCACTCTCGCCATAGTAGTACGTTTTGTACTCAAATGCTATGCTTTTCGTTGGTCAGATCGAGGGCTACAGCAAAGTCGGCCTGACGATGGAGAAATATCTCCGAAACCGGTCGTCGAATGGCTGTTCCCTTCGGTCTGATGAACTTAATGCAGAAAATAAGCATATATGTAGGTTTTTTGACCCCTTTTTCCGCTACTCGTATTTTGTTTATTTAAACTCACTTGGTTTAACATGAGATCTCACAACTATTTATAGTGGAAGAATTGTGTTGCGAGAGTTGGCATTTTTTTTTTGACGGGATCAGTTTATTATTTCAGTTTGCTTAATCAAAAAAAAAATCGGCTAAATTGGAATAACAAATAAAAATACATTTCTGTTATTGTCAAGGTCGATATTTTTGCAAATATCGATGTATTCGGTCAATCCTTAACTAAATGCGCGGCGAAACAGAAAGAGAGGGACCTTGCAAGGTAGCCGGTGCCATTACGCATTTCGCATTTATTATTATTGCCGTCCAGACTACTACTGAAACCGCTTCCATTTTTTTTAATAAAAAAACACGAACTAGGCTCTGAACAGTATATTCTACAGGATTTCAAATCTCCACTTTTGGATACCCGTGCCTTTACTGTTAGGAAAAGTGTTTCAGAAAGCCCTTTTTCTCTGAGATTCGTCGGACGCTGAACCACGCGTCTTTTTCTGATCTCCTATCTCTCGGAAAAAGCCTCCTTCCTCCTTTTCCCAAAACGGAAGTCTTCGAATTGACAGGTCATATGACCAAAGGCAATTAAGTGAACTCTATCGTCTATACTGAATGAAATTTGTTTTTATGGAAAGGAACCGAATAGATGGCGCCAGCAATATTAAAATTTGGAATTTTATAAAAAGAAAAATAAAACGCTACAATATCAGAAAAATTAACCAAAATAAATTATACAGAAAATTATCTTTTAAACAAATTAGGTTCGGAACTCCACCATTTTCCGCAATTGTGAGCTCAGGGCCCGAATCCTGTAACTTCGACATAAAAACGTTAGGCCTTCAAAGCGGTAATAAGTGAAGGTTCGTTTAGCGGAACCCCATGCTGTCGATTTAGGTATTCTCGTTGCCGTGCGAATCGTTTTCTAAATACTCGTTGACAGGGGTGGATGGGAAGTGGAAACCGTCCCGGAAAAACCAGGCAACCAGCCCAAATCCACATTTGGGCCACAGGTTCCACAGGTTTTGTCATACATTTACGTATTTTAGTTTTTGCTAGTACAGGTTATTGAATATATAAAATTCTCAGGTGCAAAGTTTAAAACATTCTGAAATACTCTAAATACAAAAAATATTCATTTTTTAATTCTTCATCGATTAACAATATTATATACAAGGTGTTGGTTGCAGTTGCTATTGAAAAAAAACGAATACAAATTATTTTATATTTTAGGAAGTTTGGCGCAGAATTTTGAACATCCTGTATGACTTAAGACTACAACGTTTATAGCAAAGTTAAGTACAGGACATCTTAAGTAAATGCCTAATATTTCTAGTTTTGATTTCAAAACAGTTCTTGTATTTTTAACATTTTTTTTAAAAGGCTGAAAAAAATATGTTTTATTTATTTATTATTATCTCTGAAACCATCGAAACATATTTCTGAAAGCAAGCCAAAAATTCAATAATATACAGAGTGTCCCATTTAAAAAAAATATCCCGATCTACCCACACTTTTTTGAGCTACCCTGCAGAAGTTAAAATATTTTCCTGAAATAACCTTTTAGTACATACTTGTGGTTTGCACTTAAACAAAATTTCCATGTTTTTTTTCTAAGAGCTACCCACCAAGCAAAAAACCTCACATTACATTTGCAACATTGCAGTCAATCCCCGAACAGTTTGCTTTGTAATGTTAATTTCTAAACGTTGTGTCGTGATTGATGAAACCTTGCTACAGAAACATTGTTTCTGAATGGTGATTAAAAAGTTTTTTCTGCAACATTGCAACAAAGATTCAAATGAAAGATCCGCGCAAGTTAATAATAATTAATAATATGACAAATATACCATAAGATCGAAAAAACGGCGTCTAGTTGGCTTGGAAATGAATATCGATGACATTCCCCATATAATTTTACATATAAAATGACAGCGATTTTCTTTTCATAGCCATCGCTGACGCTTTTTTTTTGATCATACGGTATAGCAGTCAGCAGTTAGGTTAGGTTAACGCACTTGTTTTTTTACGTTTTTGGTATCAAGTTTTATGCTTTTCGAATGAGATTTTAATGAATGTAAATGTAAGTATAATTATATTATCATGTGTGTTTTAATAATGCTTAGCCATGAATAAGTATAACAAATTTTGTTTAGTTTGTTTATAAGCTAAATTTTGGTTTAGGTTTTAGCTTTTAGTCAACTGAAAATTGAAGTAGATAAAACTGCAGAATACGAGCAAAGACACGAGTATACCAATCTAATGATAAAATTACAAATAATATTCAGTATTAATTACTCTGAATAATATTTTTTTAATGATGTTTTAATCATTTGAGATTTTTAAAATAAGGACATAAAGGGGCCTCAAAGATTACTGTCACAAGAGGTAAGTTACTCATTGTTTTTTATTTATTACAACTGATTCCTTTTATTTTTACTACTTTAGAAATGATTGGATATAGATTTGAAAACTTTACCGAAGAGTAATTTGAAACCATGAATAAGACAATAATTCAACATGCGAAGACAAAATATGAAAGATCCAAAAAATCAATTAAAATATAAGTTTGCCTTTCCTTGTACATATATTTAATGTTATACTTTCCTTTTGTATTTTTGAACAAGAAATATATAATAATGTTTATACTGTACCCTATATATTTTGTATTATTTCAGACATTCAACTTTAAGATTTTTTTAGAAATTCGACTCAGTGGTCGGAGTTGTGTAATTCCTTATTTAAAGAGCAGCTAAAAAGATCAATAAGTTCTCAGTACTTGACAGTATTTTTAATATTTTTGAAACAAGTAAGTGATAAATTTCTAATTTTTATTTGTTTTTTGTTTCAATTTGTTTGACAAATTCGACTTTCTTGGTAGGGATCACCAAGTCAATGGATATAGAGATATGCATATTTTTATCAATATTGTTTGTTTTTCGTCAATACAACATTAGTAAAAGTATATTATACCTATCTGAAAGTCTACAATTTAATACCCATTAATGTTTCTGTTGATTATAACCTATTACTGATGTATTATTGTTAACATAAAATTGCCAATATTCGTAAGAAAAAACTTTTTCATTAATTGATAAGTCATTATTAAAAAATCATTTCTATGTATCCTCTCCGATGTATGAAATTGTTATTTATTGCTAACATTATCTATTTTTTGCTATATTATTTTGGCAATAAGTCAGTTAATAAGTTATAACAAAATAAAAAGTTTAATGAACAATGATTTTTGAAATATAGTACAATACAGGTATAGTACAATATAATTTTACGAATATTGTATTGACGTAAAATTAACAATATTGCTAATAAATCTCAAATTAGTACTTTCTTGAAAGTTACATTAGCAATGTTTCAATAATATTGTGAAATAATCTCACGAGGTTGTGACGTTTCAATAAACTTGCATCAACATTTTTTTTTCAACCTTGCACTGCAATGTTATTTGGCGGAAGATTAAGCTAACCTTCCACCTTGCATAAACCTCTCTACAATGAAAAAAGCAATGTTACACCTGGCTTTGCGAAGTTTTGGCAATGTTCCAGCAATAAATTTTGCTTGTTGGGTATATAGATGCCCGGAGCACTATTGCCGGACCCTGTATACTTTTGGTTTGTTTTGACACTAGTGACAGCCGATAAATTTTCGAATTTCTTAAAATTATTGCCAACCAAATAAGCAAAATCAGAATAGCCAGTAATACTGCTCCGTACTTCTAAAGAATGAATTGTGTGAAAAGCCTTGTTTAATACTCAGACTGTCCATCCTCTGTATACTCGGTACCATTCGACTACTAGATATCCCCCAACATTTATTTTAATGCGCTACCGATGTCGTTCGGTTTTTTATGGTTCCGGTCCCGACAGAGAGGACCCGAAAAAAAGAAGAACAGTGGCCGATGAAGCAGCAGAAGAAGAAGAAGATCTGAATTTTTCCTTTTTTTCTGATGGTCTAGTTAACATTTCAACCGTCCGAGGTGAGGTTATAATTTTCCCTTGATAACGAAGTTGTCAGCGCCGGTTTATGTAAGCCATATCTCAGCGCACCGAATGGACTATAAAAATGTTTTAAGGGTCTCAAACGGTTAAAAATAACTTTTTATATTGTCAGATGTGTGTTTTTTTATTTGGTTTTGTTCTTCGGTTTCACTTTCTTTTTCATTAAAAAAATTTAAACACATTGTTTTTTAGATCAGGAGGGAATTACATACAGGGTGGCGCCTCTCATACGACGCGGAGGCTTGACTTGTATTTATATTTTGCTGGTACGTTGGCGTTCCGTTGCTTGTTTGATTTTAAACAAGAGTTTCGTATTTTTAGGTCTTATGGACGGACATTATCTTATGAACGGATGTCCAAGTTACGGACAGTATCCAAGGTACGGGTAGTGTCCCCATATTGCCACAGTATGGATGTAGCGTGAGCCCCATGCTGCTGCGTTCCCATTTCTAAGCCTAGTCAGTAGTTACGGCAGTATTGATTCATGGTGTCCTCATTCTGTCCTCTTTTGTTGTATTGGCCAACAGTATGGATGTAGCGTGAGCCCCATGCTGCTGCGTTCCCATTTCTAAGCCTAGTCAGTAGTTACGGCAGTATTGATTCATGGTGTCCTCATTCTGGCCTCTTTTGTTGTATTGGCCAACAGGATCGCCGACAGACAGTACAGAGATATGAGCCGACCTCACGCTGCTACTCTTTGAAACAGGATAGCCTCAAGAACAGCTAAGTGTAGATTTAGCTTCTGGTTTTCAGTCGATTTTCAGTCTTAACATAATAACGTACATTTTAAATAATATCGTACAGACTATGTTTAGTAGTTAGATTATTAAGAACATTTATGTCGATTTAGTAGATACAATATGATTTAGATCTTAGGTTTCATTACATTACGTCTTGTAATAGTATTACTTTCTATAGATATTATTATTGCGCTATGTTAACAGATGAATAACCAGACATAGATTCTAGAATCTACGGGTTGCAATATCGATGTAATATGCAATATCGATATAATATCATATAAAATATATCAAATTAATTGTAATAATTTGTAAAGTAATGCTACCTTTTATACATTTTCTATAACTTTACATGTATGGTATTTTTTATAGTTTTTTCATTGAATATATTTAATATTATTCCTAACATAGCTTAACTCGACATATAACCACTATAATAATTATTAAAATTGTACAATGCTATTGACCATCAGAATACATCATGAATGAATATAGTCACTAGTTTTAAGTAATAAACAACTGTGTTTTCCTTCTCTGTTCATGCCTGGCGCCCAATATTTGTATTTTCGATTTATTATTGTTAGTTAGTTTCTTTCCAGTGAAATACCTTATCCACGTCTGCTCTACAAACGAAAAGCTGCCGTTCGCAGTGGTAATGTTTTATAAAAAAACACTACAATATAATAATTGATTTTCGGATTCTAGGAAAAAAAAGGTGGATTTCATTAAAGAAGCATGTGCCTAAAATGTAAGAATTTTGACATATTTCACATTTTGTGAAAATGAAGAATACATTTTAAATTACAATAATAGCTACCTAAATTATAATTTTTCCTGTATAGCTTAATATTTAGTTAAAATAACCGTTGCGTTGTATGTTATCAATTTAAAATTTGACCCAAAAGGGGTGAGAAAAGATTAATATTAACATTGGTAACATTTAAAAGCAAGTTACTCAATTATTTTAAATGGGACATCAAGTATATTATTCCGATTTTCAATGGAGAATTCATATATCTTCAAAAACTATTAAGGTTGCGTCAGTAGATCTTTAGGTATTTGATAAAAGCTAGGTGGCTGTGATCCTTTTGTTTGTTTATAGTGGAGTGCTTTAAGCCTTTATGGGATACAAACCTCGGAATTAATTTACAGTGAACGAATTTTTACATTTTTACAATTTTTACTTTTTGCATTGTATTGTTAATAAGATATATTACAAATTTTGCCCATTTACATCCGTATTCCGGAAAAGCTCTTATCAGGATTCCTATTTAAGATTTTCATTCCAAACCTTTTACAATATACATATGCGTTTAATGGTAGTTCACATTTCAAAAATTTTTATAGATATACAGGGTGAGTCAAATATATATTTATATTTGTTTAGTTCAGTGAATTTGCTATAAAATTCCGGTTCCAAAAATACCTTAATACCATAGAGTATACTAAGTGGTTTTTGAATTATGACCACGTCCATGAGGACTTCAATCTAGACATCCAGGAACCTTCGTATGAGAACTTCTAATCGAAACGATCGACTTATTGTAAGTTTATCGCTAAGAAACCGCCGTTTGCAGGCTTCTCAAACTGATACTGAATTGCACTTAAGGAGCGTACATACATACTGCCATTACTGCTGACGATGAGTATTCGACACACATCAGAAGATAGTCAAGCAAGGCGTTTTCTTTCCTAAGCTTTTCTGTGACTGTTTATTTAAGGAGCGTACATATTAACTAACGGACTATAAGAAGAAGATTAAATGAAGCAAATCTTGATGCGCCACCCTGTACAATTCGATTTCAATCAAAATTTCTATGATCAGAATATAAGCAGAATAGGTACAACTTATGCATTAGATTTATTTATTTCAAAAAATTTACTTAGAAAAAGAATTAAAAAAAAATCCAAAAATTAAGAAGGAAATAATTAAGAATTTACTAAAATTACTAAAATAAAAAAAAAAAAATTGGCGCCGGGAGGCACGTATAGCCGCCCGTACTAAAATATATTAATAAAAAGTTGGTAGGCAAGTTCTTTTAGTTTCAAAGTAAAGGAATTTTTCCAATTTAGGTCCGCGGTTATTTTCCCTATCCCTAAAACTTTTATTATGAACTTATAACGTCATTACACGATTTTATATTATATAAAAGCTTGTCGCGAGATTTGAGTGTACAGTTGCACTCAAAAAACTTGACCAGACAACTTGATCTTGTAATTCCTGTAATTCTTGTAATTCCAATATCTTGTAAACTTATCATTATTCCCATCCAGGATAAATTCATCCAGTTTAGAAGAACATTTAAAAAACTTTGTGTCCGAATATTACACACGGGTACTGAAAATTGCCAAAATGATCTGGCAAACATCTTATTAAAAACGGCAGACCTTGTAACAAACAACGAGACCTCTGTTCTTTTCTCTCTGAATTGTCATGAGCTATCCATAAAAATTAAAAATAGATACGGATAATCAGAAAAACAGTAATTTAGAAATGAATCTTGTTTGTCATTTTGCAGGATACCTATTAATAAGAATTACTTTGAATGCCGTAGACAATGATTGAGTATTAAAACTAAAAGAATTTCGGACTTCCATTGTACTACTAAACTACAAAAACCAAATATATCACACAATAAACAAAAATAAAACTAAAAAAACAAAATATATCACTCAAGAAAAGCATGAAATAAATTAAGCCGCACGCTACTG